GTCGAGCTGTGCGCCGCCGGTGCTGGGGTGAGGGGATCGGTGGAGAGTGGCGGCCGAGAGGACGAGGCGATATTATATAGGGGAGGGCTAAACCTAGTTCTGTCTGATGGGCCGGGCTTTGGAACTTTGGTATTTGGTCCTCTTTGCTTATGAAAGCCCTAGTGGGCCTTTAACGGCGAGGCAGACCCATGCGGCCCACCCCGCGTAATAAGGCCGTGAACTCGAAGCAGCGAACGGGGCGCACTCAGAAAAAAAAAACACGCCCGGCCGAGCCATGCCGCGGCCGTCGCCGGGGAAGCCGCTGGTCACCACGATCACGGCGCTGCTCAGGTCGGCGACGCGGCCGGCGCACCTGCTCCAGCTCCACGCGGCCATGCTCAAGGTCTCGCTCTTCCCGCACCACGCGCTCCCGACCGCCAGGCTGCTCGCGTCCCCGCTCGCGCCGCTGCCCTACGCGCTCTCCCTCTTCGCCGCCATTCCGTGCCCCACCCTCTTCCACCACACGGCCCTCCTCCGCGCGCTCTCCGCCTCGCCCTCCTTCTCCCCGGCCGCCTCCGCGTCCCTCGCCGTCCTCGCCTCCGCCCGCGCGCGCCTCCCCGCGCTGGACGAGTTCGCCTTCCAGCCGCTCGTCGCGCTCTGCGCCAAGAACTCCGGCGACGACGCGGCGGCCTCGCTCGGGCGGCAGGTCCATGCGCTCCTGCTGCGGTTCGGGTTCTCCGGCGTCGTGGGCCTGGGGAACGTGCTGTGCCACTTCTACTGCTGCATAGGGAGCATGGGGGACGCGCGGAGGATATTCGATGAAATGCCTGAGAGGGACACCGTGTCGTGGAACACGATGATCGGGAGCTATGCCAGAACCGGAGAGATCAGTGCGGCGGTGGAGGTGTTCAGGGCTATGATGTGCTGTGGTGTGGATGTCAGTCCGACGGCGGTGGTCGCCTTGGTTGCGTGCGGGTGGCGAGGGGAGTCAGTGCATGGGTTCAGCGTCAAGACAGGGTTCTGCAAGGATGTCAAGGTGGCGGCAGCAATGGAGGGGATGTATTCTAGGAAAGGGGATATTGGATGCGCAAAGAAGGTCTTCGAAGAGGCGACGAGGAGGGACTTGGTGCTGTATAATTGCATGGTGGATAGTTGCGCAAAGGCGGGGCAAATTGAGGAGGCAATGGGCTTGGTGGATAGGATGAGACAGGAGGGACTGAAACCAAACACAGGGACTCTTGTGGGTGTGCTCTCTGCGTGTGGAGCATCGGGGGCAATCGTACCCGGTCGTCACATCCATGAGCTTGCGCTGGAGCTTGGCCTTGAGCTTGACACTGCACTAGGAACATCGCTCGTGGATATGTACTTCAAGTGTGGGTACCCCAAGGAGGCGATTGCAGTCTTTTATGCAATGCGCGACAGGGATGTGATGGCATGGACTGCGATGATCATGGGGTTGGGGGTTAATGGGCAGTCAGATGCCGCGATATCCCTGTTTCACTCGATGCAGCAAGTCGGTGTCACTCCTAACGAGGTTACCTTTCTTGCGGTGCTCAATGCTTGTAGCCATGGCGGGTTAGTGTTTGAAGGGAAGAAGCACCTCGAGAGCATGGTCCGGAAATATGGTATGTCTCCCCACACCGAACACTATGGCTGCATCATCGATCTCCTCGGAAAGGCGGGGCGATTGGATGAAGCGTATGAGCTTATAAGAAGTTTGTCGTCCCATGGCGACGCTATGGGATGGAGAACTTTACTTGCAGCCTGCAGAGTTCATGGCAATGTCGAGCTGGGGAGGATGGTGCAGGCACGGTTGGACGCCATGGGCAATTACCATCCGTCTGATACCATTCTGCTGTCGAACGCATACGCAATGGAAGGCCGTTGGGATGAAATAGCACAGATCAGGGATTCACAAGGGCAGAAAATGGTCACGGACAGGAAAGAAGCGGGCTGCAGCTCCATTGATGTGTCTTCCTAAGATATCTAACCTTGCTGAACTGAAGCAGCGACCACCAATTGATCACAAGGTCGGACTGTCGATTCGAAAATATACTTATGCACAGGTGACTAACAACGGTATCATCATCTCGACTGATTTTTGCTGAAGAGCAATCCATACATGTGCAGTTATCAGATACAAGATTCAGGGGTAAAGCAGTTTTTATTATCACCTATTTAACCCGTTAAGATAAAGATTCGGAGACAGATTGGAGTTTACATGCACATCTGCGTATGTATCTGTTGCACAGAAACACACTCCACTCACACTACAGAAACTTCACAAACGGTGAAGCAAATTGTGTTATGTACTTAAACCTCCTCACTAGTGCCACTACTATATTGTTGCTCCTCTCCCATCCTTGGAAGGATTGGGAATTCGTTTACTGGTGACATCACCGCTGGTGTTGGGTACCGTGCCTGGGGCCGCGTCACACTATTGGAAATCCCCTGGTCTTGTGACAGTTCGCTGTCTTCAGTGGATGCAGATGAAGCTTCCGGGAAGAGCTGCAGCTCTCGTGGTGGGGCAGCATAGCATTGCTCAGTGATTACGGGATGCAGAGAAAGTGCTGTCGAGGTGATGACTGGTGAATGTGGCGAATGCTGTACTGGGAACACTCCGCTTGTGGGATAAGGTACTGCAACGGCTGATCTTGTAGTAGTATCCTGGCTCCAAATAGGGTTGCTCTGCAGACGCATTCTAAGCTTGTTCTGAAGCTCCAGGATTTCATTGCGAAGCATGCTGTTGTCATCACGCAGTTCATTTCTCTCCAACACAACCTGTTTCATATCATGAGGAAAGTAGGAAATGCATCAGTGATGAAGTGCTGAGGAAGTGTATTATCTGAGCAGTGATAATAGTGTAAATTACTCCCTCCATTTCTAAATATAAGCCTTTTTAGAATTTCAATACAGACTATGTACGTATATATATAGACGTATTTTAGAGTGTAGATTCACTCATTTTGCTCCGTATACATAGTCCGTGTTGGAATCTCTAAAAAGGCTTATATTTAGGAACAGAGGGAGTAGTTCTTATTTGTTCATAAATAATGTTACTGGGCATGAAGCCATAAATGTTAAAGGATGGGATTGGTTTCCTATTCTAAAGGAATCTCAGCACAAGAATATGTACTAACATTTTCATATCCATGATATAATAGACACAAATCATCAAATTGCTGAATAGAGTTGCTCTATTCAAAAGGTCTTACATAATGAGATTCATTCTTCAGTGTGCTATTCTCCTTCCGAAGAGATTCCACTTGTGAAACTAAATCCTTCAGTATCCGTGTAGTGTCACCCAATACACATGCCTTCCCGTTGTTCTGCCTGTCTGGTTCTGAAAAGGAGATGTTTGCATTGTTTTAGAAAGTATTAATGCATATCCAAAAGGATGGGGCTGTAGATTTGATACAAACTAATCAGACACATGGGGAGAAAGTCGTGACATATATGCACTCAGATGTAAATTTGCCTTGCATAGTGAAAGGTCAAAACTCAGGCTATTGTGTGAATACAAGCTATTTGCTAGATGTTGAATCTGTGATCTTGCTTTATTATCCTAATAAAATCAGCCTAGCATTTGGATGACCCAAGAGCTCTACCAGCATGCTAAGTTTTACATAGAGATAACCACCCCACAAGCTCATATAAAGAAACTTCCAAACGCGGTAGTGGCACCAGAAATCATGTTGTTGCAGCTTGCTGCTTTGTACTAGTAAGATATATATACACATACCTAGCATGGCTCCCAGCTCATTAAAGAGGTCATTCTGCGTGCCTCGCTTCCGTTTCTCCCTCTCCGACTTATGGATTTTCTTTGGCACCTTCTCACACTTCCTGTTCACGACAGACCTGCACAATATTCAAACATCAGTGGAAGAACACAGTCAGGTGGTATCAGAATTGTACGGGGCAGTTTTATCTTTGCGGTGGTTCACCATGAAGTGGTAGGAGTTTTCAGGATCATAAGGCACCAACCACGGTGAGCGCTATTGCACACATCAAATTTGTAGCTCACGAAATCAGAAACACAAGAAGCCACACCGAATTACTTCTTCCGCGGCCACGTGATTACCAATGGAATGGATGCTACAACTTGCAAGCAGTTTATAATCTCAGAAACAATGATTGTTCAGGGCAAAAATCCAGTGCTTGGTTCCTCTACTTCAAGGTTGAATATGAAGTCATGTGGGTTTCAGTATTTCCATATCACTCGCCAAGACTTTATTGAAAAAGATGGTGCTCGAACCAATTCTACAGGGTAAAAATCGCTCTAGAATTCCTTTTGCTCTGGAATTCCATCTGCGGGCCAGTTCATTTTCTTGTTCCTCTCCCCGAGACTGAAAAAAAAATTTACAGGCCCCAGAACTCACCCTTGGTCGTGCAGCCTCTCGGCGGGGGCATTCACCATGTCCCTGGGCACCATGCCGACCGGGAAGCTCGATCCGGTACCTCCCCTGCGACTGTAAAACCAAGCACGAGCTCCGTCAGTTCCTCCACACGGCCCGACCCAGCGCCAAAACGATCAATCACGACGATTACCTCCAATTGAAGCGGGGAAGGGCCGAGGATTTGGGGGCGCGAGGGGCTCGTCTACCTGTGGTTCTCCTCTCCGTGATCGCTCGAGGTGAAAGGGGGAGGAAGAGGGGGAGAGACGGGGAGGGGAAGCTAAGTAGGGGGAGGACGACGGGCGGATCGTCCAACGGGGGGGAGAAGCCGGGGGCGGAGGGAGAAAGCGACCCGCCGTGTGATTGGGGACGTCGTGTAGCGTAGCCGAACCGTGGGGCGGGGAAAGGAGGATGGCGATGGGGCGGGGCGCGTGGACGGCACCGTTCGGCCGCGCGTGCTGCTGCGTGGACTTCGCACCTTGGCGCCGTGGCGGGCGAGGGCGAGGGCGCGGTGCCGTGGTGGGCACGAGCCTCCGGACCCAGCGGCGGGTGGGCGGCGTGGCGCCGCTGGCCCCGCGCCTAGTTTATCCGGTCCGACCTGGATCCCGCCACGTGCTCGCGCGTGCCCGGTGGCATCCGGCCTCGTGATCCCGTGCGAATTTTATATACCGAAGGTTAAAGAAAGAAAACAGAAAGGAATTACTACGAAAGTCCTAATCTACGCTCAAATGCTCTTGGCATGAACAGTAAAATCAAAAAAATACAATTCTGATTTTTTTTTTGTGGGCAAACATCAATAAATGTTTCGAGTGCTTGCAAATTTTCATCGGCATATCACATTTGTGGAAGTCCCGACAAAAAAGATAAAATCAGTGCTTCAAAATGCTTTTGAAAATAGCATCTTCGGAGCATCAATTATTTTATTTTTTGCCATGACTTCCGCGGATGTAATTCCATGATAAAGCTTTGCAAGCACTTGAAATATTTTTTAATGTTTTTTTTACTGAACCCGAGCTAAGAAACTCCATGTTCTCCCTTGCCAACCATCCCAACCATTTCTCGATCTTTCAAATTTTGCATGACTCATCCGCATGTGCAATGCGATCGATTTTTGATGATATCATGCATCGTTGTGATCATGGCACGCGTGCGACCGCTTGTTGAATCAAGGGGTGCACACAGAATCACTGGAGCACGTTCGCTCGGTAGAATTACCATAAGAAATTTAGTATGACTTTCTTTCTGCGAGGGTAAAAGAATTTTATCCCAAAGCACTGAGATTACAGTCCGCTGAGACAAGATCTAGAATAAAAGGCGGTCCTCACTATAACCAACAAGCGGTACTGAGAGCCATGCGAGCCTAATTATCAAGACAGAGAGAAACTCTATTTTGTAGCGGGCTATCTTAACTGAAACAAACTCATGCTTCAACATGAGCAACTTAATCTCCTCTAACAAGTGACCACAAGACGATTTGACAAGGGATATTTTGACAATAAAGAGAGAGACAGAGCCCACCAAGTCGGACTGCACCAAAATAGGGAGATTAGAGCATTGAATTGCCAAGGCCATTCCATCTTGCATTGCTAGCATTTCTGCCTCCAGTGCATTGTTCCTAAAGAAGAGCACGTGATGAGCTGCAGGGATAACACCACCATTGTTTTCACGAAGGATCTTACCCGCTCGAGCGAACCCATCCTCCAAGGAGAAGGAGCCATCCACTGAGAGGGCGAGCCAGCTGGGCGAAGGCAAAGACCAAAACGGCTCAGTCGGCTTCGGTATCCCTACCCGCACCAGAACGGGAGCATCCATAAGGGTCTTGCCCTTTAACATGTCCTCGACACTCGGGACCTTCACATCTCGTATGGAGTTCAAATAATTGTTCAAAGAGTCACCTGAAACTTCGGTCGGCGGAATAGATTTTCCATGTGTAAGGTCATTCGGAGGATTCCACACTCTCCATAGCAACATCAGAATCATATCTCTAGCAGTGCTATCTTGCATGGCTAACAGATGCAGCAGACATTCCGGACTTGTATTCGCCACATGTTCCTTCGGTGGTATTGGCAAAATCTCGCCCGTGGAATCTCAAAGTGCAGTCGCCATGTCACATGTAAGCAATGCATGAGATGTGTCATCAATAGCAGCGCCACACAACAAGCAGGAGGCCTGCCGGGGTATATGTCGCGCCCATTTACATTGCATGGTCGACAGTGCACCTGCCCCAACCTTTTTCATGCATGTGATCGCATGCGATGTGGAACTGTGGCACGCCAGATTAAGTTCCAAAAACTTCTATCACCATTGGGATTAGAACTAGAAAAAACCCCACCGAGAAGGTCTCTTCATGTTGTTCCATTGCGAGCTTATAGGCACTGCGGACGCTGAAGCAACCTCTGGAATCTGGCTGCCAAGCAATAAAATCTCTTGCTAATAAGTGGACGTGCGAATTTTACGGATAGCCAACACACCCACGGCAATAAAGTGTTGGTTCAATAATTCCACTCTCCAAGTTCCATTAATGTCCAGAAAATCGGAGACTCTATTAAGTTTGCATCGTCATTTTTAGCATGATAGAACCAAACAA